CAGGGAAAACAACCAACCAACCAACCAGTAAACCACCACACATTTAAGGTGGGAGGTACCACAAATTTTTCAAATGCAAAAAAGGTGTTGAACAGACTTAACTGACAACACGGGGAATGGTTTTCTCCAGAGAACATTTGGGATTGAAAAGGAGGGCCAATCATAGTATGTATTGTGTACTAGTCCAATATCCCATGAGGTTACAGCAGAATGGAGCAGGCAGGGCACACAGTGCTGGCCTGGCTTGGTTACAGCTCCTGGGGGAAGAGTTTAAGTCCCCAGAAGATCACCAATCCAGTAACTCATGGGTTTAGAAAGGTAATGACTTGTACCACCATGATTATGGGAAAGAAACCCAGAGGAAACATTGCTCCCCAAGAGACCAGTGCTAGGCCTGCTGTACCCCAAGCAGAAGTGTGATCCTGTGTGGGAAGTGTCCTGCTGCCCCACGTGCTGATCTCCAACCCCCTGGCCACACCCGCCTACAGAGCTTTACCAATCTCTATGGAGAAAAACTTTCTTGGTTTTATGAGGACAGTGTTGAACAGCCAAGAGGGCCATAACCTTGAGACAAACAACTTTTAAAGCAGTGTGGGATATATTTCCTTCTGAAAGCTTCAAAAATTTGAAAGCATGGCAGCATTTCCCATCTGAAGTGTTCCATCTGAAATGCAGTATTTTATACACTGTTATTTAATAATTAAAGGACCTGGAGTTATGCTCCTTTGAAATCTCTGTTACAATGGCTAAAAATCTTTGCTCAACAATGGAATTGAGTTGAAAAATATCAGTATTGAAATGTCTTGAGTACGGTTCACAATTTCTGAAGCAAATTCACTGGCTGGAATTACAAACACTGAACCTTCTCAGATAAGTATAAAACATCAACAAAAACATTTCATTTTTGCCACTAAGTACTGGAAATGACATGACTTTTCACACATCTGTACACTTGAAGGCTAAGAATTAAATAACCTGCTCCACAGTTAAACTGCCAGTGGAACCATAGCTGACCGTGCTTGAGGAACAGGTTCAAACTACTCCACCTCTTGAGATGCCCTGCAATCTGAATTATCCTGTGATCCTATGACTCTTGCTCATATGACTCTTGTTCATAACACCTAACTACAAAAGCAAACAAATGTCAAATTTTCACATTGGAACCGAAGAGGAATGGTCTAGTTAAAAAAAAAAATAATCAAAACCAAAACACGTAAACCACACTGATCAAGATTTTTTCCTTTCAATTCCTTTCAAATTTTAAAGAAACAAGCAAATATAGAGAAGGTTGTTTAGGATACAAAAGCTCACTTTAAGTATATTTGATTCTAATACCTGGTTTCAAGCAATCCACTGTTGAGTAGAAGGAAATCAGTTTTTATACATTAATGGATAATATATGTTAATGTCATTTAAATTCAGTTGCATCTGCTTGTGGAATTAACTTTGTGATTTTAGGGAAACCGAAACACATTCTTCAATCAGATAACCCGTTTTCTGCAGGCACTAAAAGAATTACTCAAAATAGCCAGCCTTGATGAGAAGCAGTAGGTGAATTAAGTTTTGGGAGCAGCAGTTTTGTAATTGTAGGAATTTTTTTTTCCCTCCCTTAAAAAGAAACCAAAGCTTTCCGATACAAAGTACTTAAAAAGAAAAGGTCCTCCATGACATTTCAATGACTTGTTGAACCAAGCAGCCATGTCCTCAGGGCAGCCTCCATGTTACCAGCTAGCAACTTTACCTGAGTCCCTGACTCCGGAGGAGCCTGTCAAACAGCAGAGAGAAAGTCCCAGAGAGCTGCAAATCAAAGAAATTGTGCAGAGACACAAGGAAGCCTGGAAAATTAGTCAATCCCACTGTTTCCGGGCATAGAAAAGGATGGAGATTAATGGGCTGAGCTGCTTCGTTTCATCTGTTTGTTAGTAAAATAAAAGCTGAGAGATGTAGCCAGACTCATTTGTGATACTGGCAAGCCCAGCCAGCTCCTAATCCTTTTGTTTCATGTACTGTCACCAGAAGCTTAGCATGCAGCAGTGGTGAAGTCAGCTTCTAAGTCCAGCAAGTAAGCCACATTGCTAGACAATCTTAAGAAGAAAGGTCCCATGCAACCTGATCTAGTTCAAGATGTCCCTGCTTACTGCAAGGCAGTTGGAGTAGGTGACCTTTAAAGGTCCTTTCCAACAGAAGACATTCTATGATACTAAGTAACAGCTGGCAGGACAAGAGGAAATTCCCTCAAGCTGTGCCATGGGAAGTTTAGATTAGATCTTAGGAAGAATTTCATTGAAGGAAGGCTTTTCCAGGACTGGCCCAGGCTGCCCATGGCAGTGGTGGAGTCCCCATCCCTGGAGAGACTGGAATGCTGTGGAAATGTGGTGCTGAGGGATGTGGTTTAGTGGTGACCTGGCAGTGCTGGGTTAACAGCTGGACCTGATGATCTTGAAGGTCTTTTCTAACCGGAATAATTCTATGATTCTGTAAGGTGCTCCACCACAGGCAGAAAGTGTTAGAAGAAAACAGCTAGGTAAGAGAATGTGATGAAGACCCCAAACCAAGCAGCAGTAAAATGAACATACACAAGCTAGAACACTTGACCACTTTTCACTGTGAGAACTATTAACACACACACACACTTGCAGATACAAAACTCCAGGAAACAAAAAAAATATGGTTTTGAGGGAGGCCAGCAGATAATGAGATAACAGGGGAGGGGATATTTTTTTTAAGTGTATGTTGTTACAGAAACAACAACCTACCCACCATCCATCAAGAGCATTCAGTATCAAAGTGTCAGGAGACCTGCTGCTGTTTGCTGTCTTTCTGCTTGTCAAGTGACTGCTGTACTTGTAAGAACATTATGTTTATTGAAAAATGATGAGTTTCCTGCCAGCACTGGGATCTCACAAATACCTTTCACTGGTGTTACAGCAGTTCTTTGGGCTCTAATTATTTTGTTGTCTTGTGGGATACTCTTGATATTTTCTCTGAAAATAAAACCTAGTAAAAAAAAAAATCCTTGAAATTTGTGTATCATTCCAATTACTTTTGAGAACGTTACTTTTATATTACCACACCCCTAGGTATCTCTAGCCCTGTATTCACTTGGTGATGCATGAACAATAAGAGGGACAATCTGTTTTCCCAACAACATTTCCCAACGACGTTGCTCCAGCCTGGCTACTGAACTTCTCACAGACTTCAGCATCAGTGACTTCTGCTGCAACAGGTAGTCAACCCTATGTCAGCATAGCTCAGAGACAATACTCATGAAACCCTCCACAGTTTATTTTCAGTGGTTTTTACAAAGTTGAGCTTCAAAAGCCATTATCTCACCCTACGTACAACTACGTTACATTAAGCAGCATGCCATGATTAACTGGATTGTTAGTAAAAAAAGAAACTATTCTGAGTGTTAAAATGGATCAGATGTCCAGTTAAGTTCCAGAACAAAGAGAATTAATCTCTAGATGAAAGGAAGAGGAAATATCTTTCCAGTAGTCTTTCTATACCCCAGATATTACTTCAGCAGCATAACAGTCTGAAACAACACACAAGTCTTTGATTTCAATCCTCAGATTTCACAGCTGAAAGTTAGAGATGACAACAACTGAACTCAGAGCTATGAAGAATGAAGACTGGTTCACAAGTAACAAAATTGCAAACATGACAATGAATCACTGAAGATACCTTTAACCTGATGTTTAACGCAAAAGGTGCAGGCTCGTGTTATTGTTGCTCCATATTGCCACAGAATTGAATAAAGCCTCTAAAACTTAGTCAATACTTTGGAAAAAAAAAAAAAAAAAATCCACATTGCCACAGAATTGAATAAAGCTTCTAAAACTTAGTCAATACTTTGGGGAAAAAAAAAAAAAAATCTAAGCACTGATCAGGAAGGCAAATCTCTTAAAGTGAAGAAGTTAAAATAGGGAAAAGAGCATGCCACAGAAATAATACGTAAGATTTTCCTCCTGCTCCAGTGCAGACAAAGTGAGCAAAGGTCCTGACTGCAGAGCTTTCAAGATTGCTCTTCATCAAGCTGTCAAAGATTTCTCTGTCGCAATCTCGAAGCTAAACACTACCTCCTAGAACAGTCCTGATAATGTGGATCTATTAGTTGAGATCTGCCTTTCCACACTGCAATTTTAAGGTCAGGCACATAGACTTCTCCTCCATGGCAAAAGTCCGTAGTGGAACTTCTGCACTCCCATGCACCTTGCACAACCCAACTGAGGTAAAACCCCTCTGTTGGGATTGCTGCAAACTTTTAGAAAAACTAATTCCACTGCCTCTTTGAAAAAAAAAAAATACACATGCTTAAATAGCTCTCCATTTTTTAATGTGGAAACTGAAAATCACCCTTTTGTCAAACTAAACACAAACGAGAGCAGTAGTTTATTGGTTAGGGGGGTCACTGCATGCCTGGCCAATGAAAACACAGAAGATTCATAAATACCAGTTAAAATGTTTCATTTTTAAGAGAAGTGGCATGCATGCTTTTCCTATTTCCTTAAAGCTAAAAAAAAAAAGATTGAAGTTGGACAGTGCTTTCATCTCTCAATTCTCAAAAAAGTTCAATACATTTGACTAGGCAAAGTACAAATCTGTAATGTAGCTGCCCACGTAACTGATCTTTGAAAGAAGGAAAGAAAGAAGACTGGTTATTTAATAGCACAGAGAAGAAACAGTAAGAAGAGGCACAGATCTGGATAATGCAAAACCTTGACTACACTGGTTCCTG